AGGGAGTAAATCTACATATGCATTGTGGAAGAAACTGCCACTGCAGGCAAAACTTCAGATGTCTCTTAATAGTTCTCAGTTTTGCCCATTCTTTTGTAGAGAAGAGGAGGAAATGATGTGTAGTAACAGAATATGTGTTTCTATTAATTTAGATAATTTTTCAAAGCAAAGATCTTACTAATCAAATGTCACAGCATATTTTGCCTGTAGTTTCTCATTTGTTCTGTATAGGAAGTGATTTTTATTTCAGCTGGATTCCGTGTTTTCTTTACCACTTTTTATGGTTGGCTTTGTCCCAGCTGTAGAGCTTGCTGGAGCCATCTGTGAGCCAACAGCACTCACCAGGTAGAGCTCACCCAACAAAGCAAACAAAAAGCTCAAACGAGCAAGTTTAGTTGGGCTAGCAGCCAAGGGTCTGGTATGTTCCACAGCAGTACAAATAAGAAGAAACTTGCTGCTAACAAGCTAATAGATCTGCTCAGATTTCACCTAACTTCAGCCCTATACTTATACTGATTGTCATCATCATACTTCATGTATTTACTTAGGACAGAGAGAACAAAAGATAAGATGTTGTATTGGTAAAGTTTTGTCTTGTTTTATCAAAGATAATACAAATAAGAAAGATACAAATACCTGATGATCAGAATAAAACATTTTCTGGGAATGACTGCATTTACCTTTCCCCTCCACTACTACTACTGACTTACTCATCTTAAGGGAAAAGCTACCTTGTCCTGCAAAATACTACAGCATGGAGGTAAAAGTAAAACTAACAGGGCATATCTAACACAATTAACTATTCAGCAAAGACAACATGCTGACACACACAGGTCTATCAAGAGCCTTGAGCATTTTCTTGGACACCTCAGCCTAAATGAAATGCATGGTTCTGTAGCCTAACTGCTAGAATAAGTGCTAACTACATTAAGGCTGGGAGTCTTTCAATCACATCTCTAACAACAGTATAATACTACCTTTGTATCTCAGAAAAAAATCATAATGAGGTGAGAAAACATTAACCATTCATAGTAACCAGACTTCTTTTCAAAAGATTCATTCTTACTCTTCAAGAAAAAAGACTAGAAATTTTAAGTGAATACGTTACATATAAGTATATAAACATCATGATAAAAGTAACGATGTCACCATAATTAGTAACAATATCACTAATAATCACTAAGAAATAAAAAGGCTCTTGACAGTAAATCAAATCTTACTACAAGGTTAACGGGGAGAAAAAGAAAGTGATAGTATCTAATTTTTTTAATATAGGTCAGTTTAGTAAGAAAGCTGAGCATGTTCAACTCAGAAGCACATGGCAGTTTGGCATTATTCATACAATATAGAATCACAGAATCATAACAAGTTACTGAGCTCAGTGCAGACATAAATTTCCACTTAACCTGAGATTTTTTACCTTTGTATTTAAGCACTGATTATACAAAAACCTTGTATCCCCACAATTTGCTCTAAAATCTGGCAACAATTTCTGAAGTGCCTAAGAAGTACACCTATATCACAGACTGTAGAGAAGACATCTAACATTTTAAAGAATCAAGCTCAGGTTCCAGTAGCAGTTTAGCTGAGGCAGCATGAAGATTGGCACAAATTAATTCAGAGTGCAAAAAAGAAGAGAATATTAATGCTACTAGATTTTTGTACTGCTTCTCCTTATTGCTTGAGGTTTCACAATTGCTATTGAAGGCTACATCAGGTCCCCACACTATACTGCAGAATAGATATCAATTATTTAGAAGCCTAATCTTCAGTTTTAAAATCTCAAATCCATCTAAAATGTAAGTAGTATTCAAAATCAAGAGCTAAAGACTAAATGATAAAGGATATGACTTTTCGAAAGTGTTAGAATTTTAGTTAAAAGCAAAGGTAAAAAAAAAAGTGGATGTGGCTGGTAATAGACAAATGAAGCACCTGTTTTACTCTTGTTTTTAACCAAGTAAAAACCAAAATATCCACCTTTCCTGCAAAACGACAAAAAGCTCCTGAGGTTACTAGATGATATTATTGTGCAAGAGAAAAATGCAGCAGAAGCATGTCAGACAGTGCTCGTTGAATTAAACAAAGGAAATAGTAACCAGAAAGGATTGTTTCCAAACATAAGAATTTGTAATCTGCCCTTATAAATTGATCTCAAGCAAAGTACACTTTGAAAACTTTTTCTAAGAATTTGATAGTAGGGAGAAAAAAGTATTTTTAAGGATGAAACAGGGCTTGCCTACCATTTTCTAGCTGCAGATTCTTACAGGATTTCATCATAATTGCATGGATGATTTAAGTAACAGGAAACCAAAATAACCAAAGATTTTGAGAATAATTGGGACCCAACTGCCTCATCTTTTAGATATTCAAAATCAGATTTCTTAAATTAAGCTTTCAGAGTATCTGTGTACAAGCACTATTTCAATATCCAAAACCTTTACGATGCCTCCCATTGCAAGTTCTGGGCTTAGCTTTCTGCAGCTGCCTTTTTCTTACAAAATAAAAATTAAGCAGTGGGTGTGTTTCCTCCATCACCACAAGAGAGAAAGCACACAGCAGATCTCAAAATGACTGAATGTTTCTCCACCTACATGCTCAAAATGGTTGAATACAGAAAGCAGGAATCTTTATTCCCTCTTTCACCAGTCCACTCTGTGGCTCTCCAAGCAAGGCTCAGGAGACATAAGAATGAATCAAACTGGAGAATGAATGCCTTGCAATGCTGAGGAAACTACAACTGGGAACTGGTTGGTAGGAGCAAAGGTTAGGTTGGAATAAGAAATACAGTTAGGCAGGCAACTAGCACAGATGGGAAAGTGGGAGAAAACCAAAAGAAATAGCACTTCCTTCCCAGCCAATCTGTGATAGTTCACAGATCATTAACCTAGATAAAAAATCTTAATGGAAAAGGGAGATTAAGAAGTGCATGTATCCATATTCAGACAACTTTTAAATTTTAAGACATGAATTAGAAAAAAAAAAAAAAAAAGAAAAAAATTACAAATAAAGCTCAAAATAAGGTACTTTCTTCTGTGGAAATTCTATACATAGACTATCCACACTCAGGTTTTCAATCGAACCTACAGCTCTAGCAATGATTCTTACAGGATAGAACAGCTGTCAGCATAGAACCAGCCAACAGGAAAGAGCAAGCGCAGGGGCACTTAGTGCTTCAATGCTAAGACACATTTACAAGACTGAGGGATCACAGATAGTGCTCCAGTTCAAAGCAGACTCCAATAAAATTCTCACTAATTTCAATGGGGCACCAGTTCTGTCATGGGAATGTTTCCCAGTCAGAAGTTCTACCCAACTATCCTTAAGATTTTAATGACATCATGCTTAAAAAGAACATTTTATCTTACCTCCTGAATAAGAGCATTATGCCGCAACACTTTACGTGCTTTCATGATACGAACTATAGCAGCTTGAAGATACATTTTTCTGTCTTCATCTACAGCACTTCTGGTCTGTTCCATCTCCTGCAATATAGGAAGAACAGTAATGCTTAAAATACAGTAAGAGCATAGAATCATAGAACAGTTAGGGTTGGAAAGGACCTTAAGATCAGTCTAGTTCCAACCCCCCTGCCAGGGGCAGGGACACTTTGCACTAAATCAATAAATGCTTCATAAAAATATCTTAAATGTATACTTTTTACTTCAGTAAAAGTGGTGAATGAATATAAAAAACTAGGTGAAGTTCAATTCCAGGTAAAGTACTTCCATGTATCAAGAACACAGGTTTCATGAAAGTCATGGAGGTAGGAGAGACATCCAAACCAGTATTTTTGTTAGGAAGAAAGGCAGGCAAAATTTATTATAAAGTATTGAGTTTGGCAGCATGTACATCTCTTGTACAAAATCCTTTGTCTTATGAGATACAGAGGTAACACAAATTATCAAAACTGGAGTTAATTTTAGTTGCCAAAAGACACAAAACCATAGGAAAACAGAGTTGATTGGTTCTGCTGTTCCTGGAATACATTGCTTTTATAAACACCACCAACAAAAAATGTCTAATTAGATAAGACAAGCTAAATGTCAATCCCACTCAGTACAAGAACAGTTCTTGTTTACCTTTTTCTTCCACTTTCTTATTTCCTATTCTATCTCCTCCTGCCTGTATTTTAAGTACAAAAAAAAAAAAAAGAAAAAAAAAAAAAAAGACCAAACACTGCTTAAGCTTTAAATTGAAATCTTACACAGGAATTCTTACACCAAACCAATAGAATAAATTCAGTATCTTCCCTAAGCTGTTCAAGTTCAGAACACCAAAGAATACTTGCCTGTGGCGTGTCTTTCTGCATCGATGTAGTAATTTTAAATTTTGTTCGCTTACTGCTGAAGCTCATATTTAATGAAAACGTAGACTCTGCCTCTATGTCTTCCTGCAATAAAGAATCTTCTTAAAAATCAGGAATGGAACCAGAAAACAATAACAACTTACTTTGAAAATCGCAGTTAGGGGCTTGCATACAAACAATTTCAGATTTTAGCTGGAAATTCTAAAATGCCACTTGAACCAGGTCAGTTTTTTAAGCTACAGTTTAACTAACCTAGAAATCAAGTCTATTTTAACTATAAAAAACTCTTGACATATGTGAATTTTGTTAAACAAGGTAATATGATTAAAGCAATTTCTGTTTCAATACTTCAACAGCTTAGTTGCAAATGGCTTCCATTTAAACTCATTTTCTTCCTGCAAAGAAAGTAGGATTTGCATTTATTTACGGCAGAGCCTCAAGAGAGAGCTGTTGCTTTCATAACTATTACTAATGTTGCCTTCCAGAACTTAAAGAAAAACATCTAAGCATTTTGCTATGTTATAGCAGATACAGTTGATAAACTGCAACTTGTACAGTTCCGCATCTATCCATATATTTCTATTTTTTTTCCTATCTCAACTCTTTTCTACATGTAAAAGTCCAATTCTTTCAATAAATGACAACTGTTCCCTGCAGCCTAAACACCTTAACATCCAACCAATATTTGCAGTTTCCAGGCAAGAATCTGTACAAGTGTCCTGGCTTCAGCTGTAGCAGTTACTTTTTTTCTCCTTTCTAGTAGCTGGTGCAGTGCTGGGTTTCGGCTTCAGTCTGAGAACAATGCTGGTAACACGCCGATGTTTTAGTTGTTGCTAAGTAGTGCTTATGCTGACCAAGAACTTTTCAGTCTCATGCTCTGCAAGTGAGGAGGGGCACAAGAAGCCAGGAGGAAGCAGAGACAGGACACCTGACCCAAACTGGCCAAAGGGCTATTCCATACCACAGCACGTCAAGCCCAGTATATAAACTGGGGGGAGTCACCCGAAGGCCCAGATCGCTGCTCAGGTCGGGCTGGATATTGGTTGGCGAGTGGTGAGCAATTGTACTGTGCATCACTTGTGTTTATTGTTTTCTTTGCCTTTTCTCCTCTTAGTTTTATATCCTCTCCCTTGTTGTTTCCCTTATCATTAGTGGTAGTAGTAGTTTTATAGTATACTTTAGTTACTGGACTGTTCTTATCTCAACCCGTGGGGTTTATATTCTTTTGATTCTCCTCCTCCTGCCTGGGGGAAGAGGGAAGGGAGGGTGTGAGCGAATGGCTGCGTGGTGCTGAGTTACTGGCTGGGCTTAAACCACGACAAGTATTACTAATTTCCAGCAGAATAAAATTAATAGGCTTCTCAGACTTTGGAATCTTGCCAAAACTCAAGCACAAATACTCCAGTAAACACAGTCAATATTTATCTAAATTTATATTCAAACTAATATTAATTCCAATTTTATATTCTGTATTATAATATTTTATAATATCCAAGCATGGTATAGAATAATTAACATGAAATGGCAAAGATCAAAAGCTTTAAAAAAATATAAACTAACATTAATTTTAGCATTATTCTGCTGTCATGGTTGAATATAAACAAAATAAATTGTGTTGTGCATGAACTCAAAAAGCATGACTCTAATGTTTTCTTTTGTTAGCCCTCTTTCGGGGAAAAAAACCCAAAAACCAACCAAACAAAAGCAAACTACAACATCTAATAAACTGTACTTTTCTGTGTGGCTCTGACACAGGTAAAGAGAAGTTAGCGTATTTAATTTCACTCTTAAGCCACTGAAGTTCACTGGCTTATTCAGCACGTAAGCTGATAGACTGTCTACAGATCTGCTTTCACATTGCTGGACGGAGTGCAAAGCAAACAGAATTAGCAGAGATGTTTGAATACAATAGCCTGGAAGTTAAAGAACCAGAAATGCAGTGGTAAACACTAAAAGGTAAAAGGATTGGAAAGCCATGCCATTCATGCTTCAATGACATAAGCTTAAAGAAACTTATACAACAGACATAAATAAATGCAAATCCTTTAAATAATGGGCAATTTTCTAAGATTATGAAAAAATCTCACTGTTTTCTGTAATAGCTCCCAGTGCTATATTTCACCCATGGTTTAACAGACATCTTCCCAGCCACTGTTCCAACCTGAGCTCATTTCTAGATATTGGAAGCATGTCCTATGCTTCAGCCAAGCATCAGATCTTCCTTGTGATCTCACTTTCCATTTTCTAATATTTTCCTGGTTAAAAAAAAAAGCAGCTATCAGAGCAGCTTCGGATTTCTTCTCGTAAGTGAACAGCTTATCTCAGTTTCTTCTGCCTGATACTGTCTGAGTAACAGGCATTCTGGGCTAGCTGGAAACTCATGCTAAAATTTGCATGGCATGTGCAGGCACTTCTGCAGTGTTTCTTACATAACAGACATCTGTGCCCTCTGCTGTATGGGAAAAAAGTTAACTGGTTTCATGTAGGTCATACAGAAGCATGAGGCAGAGTCAGAAACAGAACCTGTATCAACCATTGCCTTAATCACAAACAAAGCTCAGATGTTACTGGAATTCCATGAAACTCATGGGATGATATGAGTTTGGCAAATTGCAGCAAAAATCCTCTCACACAAGCCCTCCTTCCTCTCTTTCATCCTCCTTCCTCCCCCCAGTAATCTGTCAGCACAGAAGAACATGGTTGCCATTACTTCCAGTCTCTTAATCCCACAGCATTTTTTTTAAAGATGTCTCTAAGACTCTTTGGTTTACTACTCAGGCTCCTTTCCACGATGCAGTACAACTTCTAAAGCGGTTATTCAAAGAGTATTCCCCTCCAACAGCAGTGAGTTTAAAGCCATATGGATGAAATGCAACAGAAACAATTACCACTCCTAGAGTTACTACCGTTTCAGCACACCATGCTGTTACAGGCATAGAGAACCTACATGATACAGGTAAGTCTACCTCCTCCTTATAAATACAGATTTATAATTGTTCACAAAGATCAATAACACAGTTTAGGAAAAAAAAAGCAAACAGTGGATTCTTTTATATATACAAAAACCTCAACAAGTACTAGAATCACAAGACTGAAAACACTAAACTTTTTTATATCGTTACTGCATACCTTGTCTGAGTCATGGTTGATCATTTTGACATCAAGCAAGGATTTGATGGTTTTTGTCAGTTCCTTCTCATTCATTTGTGTACTATCCTGAAGCTCCTTGTAACTGACAGTTTCACTGTTGTTGAAGGCAAGCAACACTGCCATTTGGTATGTTGTAACCATGGCTACATAAGGTTTGCACAAATAATTCATTTTTACTTCACCTGTAATGATACAAATATTATTTCATAAACTGATGGAATGTGCTGAAAAGTCACCTGAAGCCTAACTATGAGAGCTCCCCTACTTCTGGAGATGTTCAAGGACAGGCTGGACAGAGCCTTGGGCGACACAGTTTAGTGTGTGGTGTCCCTGCTCGTGGCAGGGGGGTTGGAACTAGATGATCTTAAGGTCCTTTCCAACCCTAACTATTCTATGATTCTATGATTTCCAGACATTCAATTCACATACTAGAACAATAGTGTTTTCAATAAAAAAAAGGAAACCTACAGTGTTGAATTTGAATAATGCAATGTAATTTACAGTAGAGGAAAAAAAAGGAAATTCCAAATAGCCTCAACACATCAACTTCAATTAGTAATAGCTTACGCAGAATCACAGAATAGTGATTACACAGAAGTTGTTCCAACCTAAAATTTAAAAACAAAAGACTTGTCCACTACATTTTTTTCCCCACAATATTCTTATATTATGTCCATTCCTAAAGAAAAAAAAAGAAAAAAGACAAAAGAAAAAGCTCTGAAGAAATCTGCCTGAAAGCAGATTTATATTTTCTGTGTGAAGATGAGTGTGAGTTAATGGCACACTTCTATTATCAGAACTAAATTTTCATTACATTATATGGTTTTATGCTAGCTTGGTTTTCACCTTCATGTAATATGTTGTGATGATCAGTCATTAAAACCTGATATTGAAAGCACCTGAAATAAAATACAATTGACAGATTCTTACTAAACTAAGCTACAATTTTATATATCTCTTCTATGATGTTTTTAAACATATATTTCTATATAGTAAATATAAACATAACTAAATATATATGTACTTTACTTACATATCTGAGTAAAACAGCATGATACACATTCTTAAAATTATCTAATATTCAGCTAAAGGACATCTGACGCTACAGAAACAATTCCAGGGCAATTATTATTAAATCAGCAGTTTTACAGTACTGTTTTGTAGTTAAGAATGTACAATTCTAGTTTTACTTGGACTTAATAAATCACAGATTACATATGCAAGTTTACAAAACAAATTTTGGAAATACTAAGCAGCAAACAATAATTTATAATGCAAAATAAGTCAGTTGACTTTATGTGCAACATAACGTTCCAATTCCAATGTCTGCTGCCATTTGAAAGTGATTTTTAACAAACGTCAGTTGTATTGAGCGTAAGCTTAGCAAAGCACTTATTTTTACCTGTACAAAGATAATGTAACCAAGTAAGCTTCCTTCCACTAAAATGCTGACTGTAAAATAATTCAAACTGCAAAACAAAATGAAATTCGATTATTCACACACATAACTACTTACAATAGCTTATTATCATACTACCACCCCAGGGAAGAAATACTGGTTTCATGTTCACCATACTGGATGCAAAGATGGCAGATCAATTCTTTTCCTTTAGAAGATGGGTGATGACTAAACATCAGTAATTTACTGAAATACTTCAACATATTAACATATCACTTGATCACTAAATCAAAAAAAGATTGTTGACACACTCATACTCTCCAAGTATAAAATACTGTAGTTGAACAGTGTTCCAAGAAGTTATCAACTCTACTGAACTTAAAAGAATTTCTAGGTGGTTTTAGCAATCAATCTTGTAAGGTTTTATTATTCTCTTCCTTCCAATTCCATATAAAAACAAGTGTATTTTTATTTTTTCACCTTGGTGAAATCATTCTATATTCCATGGCTTTGACATCTTATTTAACAATCAATCCAGAAATTCCTGTGTACACATCCATTTGGTTTACTCTGATTTGGTCTGGCAACTTGAGCATCGAAGAAAAATCCAAAAAGGGGTCTTCTGACCTCTTTAAAACTCAGGTGTTTCTCTGCCCACAAGCTTCCATGGTATGAAAACAAGTATTTGTATACGGTTCAAATAATCTACATTTACAGGAAGCTCCAGTAGTCTTGGAGCCTGAAAAAGCTGCTGAACAATTTGCCCAGATACAGAAGTGCTTTCCAGTGCAACTGCAAAATGTTTTTTTTTCTTTCTATATCCTGGTCAGAATACTGAGAGAACTCTCTCTTCATGGGTCAAATGATCAAATTTCACAGCAAAGACAGACATTGTCAATTTTTCAAAGACTCCTTAAGGTCATGTTCTCTTTCCTCAGGGAATTAGAAGTATAATTTAGAGCATTAATTCTAGATAGGCGACACATGAATTGCTCCTTTAAACAAACAGTGAAGTTAGGCAAAGAACCCAGACGCTGAGCTGCTTCTCATATGCAAGTCCCGAACAATTTTCCAACTGAAGCATGACTGACAAACTCACAAAGAACAGCAAAACACAGTCACCTTCTGTGGATCCCATAGTATGGCTTGGAAAACTTTATATTGCTAAAACCAAGTACCACTCAATACAGTGGAAATAAAAGCAGAATAAATAGTTCAAATATTTAGTAGCAATACATTAAAAAGCTCCACTGCAGAAACAGACATTTCCCATTCTAATTTACATTAGAGATCAATTTAAGTTATAAAAACTGCTTTAAAAATCTGTTATATCAAATAATGCAAATTTTTAATTACCTAAAACGTACTTCACTGTTGAATACACTTCAGCAAATATCAACACACATATTCTGTATTTTAGCACAAACATTGCAGAGGTAACGTTTAGAGCACAATAATATAATGAAAAGTAACAAAATATTCCACCTCCACAAAGCGGAAATCATCACATAAAAAGAGAACATTTGGCCAAAGTAAAACCTTTACTACTTTGAGAATTTGTAACATTAAAGAAGTTTTGCACAAAGCTCAATTTTGAATGGCTTCTATGAAATATAAGACAAGAAACCATATCTGCATTTTCATTCACTATTAAATCTGTTCCAATTTACTATTAGAAACAAAATCTTCTTTCATCTAAATATTAGGAATTGGTTTCAGAGGTAAGAATCAACCCAGTTCATTTGATTGTATTTAATAGTATCTCACTCATCAATCATGAAATGTAGAAGACAGATGTGAAAAATAAAGAAAAGCCATGCAAATACATACATAAATTCAGTGTATCATTTGGGCTACCCTCCCAGATTTCATATGGACTAGAAACAAGATAGCCATGATTTACAAACGAAATGAAGCAGTTCAGGTTTTTCTCTGTTAGACTGATGATCTTTTATTTAGAGTTATTTTACATTTTCCGCATGTTTACAAGAAGCCTCCTACTAACCTACCATCTGTACACTTTTTTCCAGTTCCTGAGGAATTGCAAATGTAGAAGAAGGAGCCTGAGTTAGAGGCCATGCACCAGCCTAAAGGTACCAGAAAAAATAAAAGTATTAACATTTTCATACGATATATACACTACAAAAAAGTAACACTATTAGACAGTTCCATAGTATATGTTATGCCATAAGACTATCAATTTACACCAGAATTTTTACTGCTCATTATGCATGCCCCACTGAGGCATTAATTCAAGACAAGAACACAAGGCATTTTATGTCATTACTCTTTAGTGTACTATTGGGTTGATTCTAATACGAAACACTGGGATAATGAATTTTTCCACAAAAATCACAAAGTGTCAGTTTCCGTATGAGAAGTATTCATGGAAAATGGTTCACTTGTTATCAAAATATAAAAATTAAGTACAAATAACTCAATAGTAATAAACATACATTAGTACCTGTAGAACATATATCTGAAAACTAATTCCCAAATCTATAATCGTGTCCTGGTTTTTGATAAAGTTGTTGAATTTATTGTTGAGATCAGCACTAACACTCATGTCTGTATACATTCGATGGAGCTTGCTGGTAAATTCATAACCGCAGGCTTGCTGTGAAGAAACATTGTAACAGGGTTTACAGGGAAAACTGTACTTATTATATAAATTATGCACATTCGCTACTATAATAGGGAAATATAGTTAGCACAAGTGTTATAAAATTTATGAAGAACACCAGTTAGAATAGAAAACAAACATTATAAAACAAGATTATATGATTTACTTTAGTTCGGCTTTCTATACACTTATATGAACAACTTTATTTTATAAAATTGAAAGATAGAGATAGTTTATAAAGGTGCTTGGTACTTTTTTAAAACATATCAATTATTTAAACATACTTAACAAAAATACCTGAAACCTCATAAAAATCTCAAATGCCTTGGTGATACTTAGCTGTATATCTTTCAGACACTACTAAGAAATTAATTTTTCCTTTCAGCTATTGGAAACAAGATCTATTAACTTCTCAATTATCTCTGGCACCCTCTGCTGCATCCTCTCAACATTACATACTGCTACATTTATTCTGCATTAGAATATTACATTACCTTTAGTTTGTTAATCATGGCTTCTTCAGAATCCATGGACATGGACAAACCGTGAATTAATCTTTTTGCCAACATTCTGGCATAGAACTAGATAAAAAGAAATCAGACATGAAGATTTTTAAAACCATAACCATATTCTTGAAGCTTACTTTAAATGTAACATTTTCAAGTTTATTGAGTATCAAAAGTTACCTTCTGGAATACATCTTTGTCATCAATGTATTTGAAAACAGTAATGAAACTTGTAAGTTTGTCTTCTACTTCATTCTCTGTCATTCCCTTTGCCGATTTCTTCAACAAGTTGTCACAGTACTTGGCCAGCTCAAGTTAAAAAAAAGAAAAAACAAACACAAACCTACTTGTCAAGCTTGAGAACAAACGTATGCCAAGGTATTCCAAACTTTACACAACAGTTAAAACATGAAATAAGTCACAGTCTACAGCCTTATGTTCTATTACAAGGGTTGTATTCATAGAACAACACATACAACATCCACAGAGAATACAAATTCTGTACCAAAAATTATGACTGCACCAATTCTGCACACCTACAAGTGTGTGTGTTATTCTTTACTCCTGAAATACACACCTGAGGTTAACTAGTGTGAGAAATGGATACTTATGTGATGGACCCTATGCCAATCCATTTGACAGCATTAAAAAATACTACTTTCCACTATGTATCACTTACCAACTCAGGTGCTTTGCAGATCGACTTGGGCTCCCTATAGTTAACTACTGATGTCAAAGCCTACATAGGAAGATAGACCAAAGAGGGAAAAAAATAAATACATAAAAAGGAGAAATGAAGAATTGATGTATTTAAGGGAAAAGTACATTCCATGTGTGCCAGCAAATGTAGTTGGCCTTCTCATATTACTCCACCTTCTGGTACATGACATTAATTGCAATTGAGATGCAAATGTATTAGGGTACTGAAATAAGTATTTGTTTTAAAATAATACGTGATTATTTTCTCAAAATCACAAACACGGATAACTACTATTGATATTATCACTGGTGTCTTCATCACCATGCCTTTCCAGATCAACCTTGGCTGAAAATTATCAAATCTTAGACTGTAACCCTACCTACAAATTCCAATTACTGTAAACATCACAAAAGAACAATGAAATGTATGCATGCATCCTTAGACAGCAAATTATAGATAGGAAAGTAGTAAGTGCACTCTCTAGGAAAAAGATGCAAGGATATACGGAAAAAAAAAGAGTGGAAAATTAAATAAACGGATTAGATACAATGTATGCTATTTTAAGGAGGAGCCACTCAATCCCTCAAAATAATATTATTATTAGGTATGTTATGCAGGTGATACTAATAATAACAATTAGAAGTGTTATATTAAATACCTTCATGGGTATGCATTTCATAAAAAAAAGCAGCAAGCCTCTTT